TGTCAGCTCTAAAGAACAATTTGGCAGTATAATAAAGATATTAAAGTTGCAGCATGGGTTTGAATGATCAAGCTACTGTACAATGACGTTGATTTAAGTAAGAGAAAGTGAAGCTTAGAGATTCTTGTAATTTAAAGAAAATTTAATTTGAAAAATTTATAGGAATGTCCAAATTATTGTTTTAATCATTAAATTTAAAAAAAAATTATAAATTTTATCAAAATTTTCAATATTAAGAAGTTCACTTGTAATTTTTGAATATTCAAAACACTACCAAATATTGTTGAAGATTTGAATTCAAAAACAATTTCGTTTCTTTTTTTTATTCATCAATAACCTCAATTATTCAACTATTAAATCTTATATATACTCTTATGTGTATTTCATTCCCTGAAAGTATGCAATATTTTTTAAGTAAATTCGAAAACAAAAAATACATAGCGTTACAGGTACAATAATTGACACTCTAGAAATTCGGTACAATTACTCAAACCCTGATTTCTCCAGTACTTTCTAAGTATTGTGAATTTTCTATAGTACTTACAATAATAATGAATATAAAACTAATTACGGCCTTTTATAAATTGAAATTATATTTATTATTCTCATAAAGATATGACAATAATATTGTACTTTTATACCATATCAATAGTTGTACCAGGGTGTCAATAATTATACATATTCGTATTCAAACAAACATTTAATTTTTATTTAATATTTAATAAATTATACCATATTATGAATATGAAAGAAGAATATTCAATTCATATTTTACCGATGCTCAAATTTTTATATAGAAAAGTATAGAAAAGTTTTATGAGAAATACCGCTTGAGGGTGTCTATATTTGTACTTTAAAATAATTTTTTCAAAATTAACCAAATTCAATTGATTTTAAAAGTGATTGAATTATCATGAATCAATCTCATAGGTAAAAAAACCCAAAAAACAAAAGGAATAATTTTCTCAAAAGTTCTTTTGAAATTTTATTAAAATTTTATTAAACTATTGGCCAAAAAAAAACAATATTTATAAATTCAAAATTTCATTTTAAATTTTATTATTATAACCCCGGAATATAAACACATCCTTTTGCAATAAATATACTTATGAAAACTTTTCCCATTAATTTTATTGAAAGTATGCACCATAAAATAAATTTTGTATTGTACATAAATAATACATAAATATTATTTGAATATACTTGAATTTCATAGGGTTCTATTGAATAAAATAATTGAAATTTCATTATTTCAAGGAATTCATTTTATGAGTTTAATAACATTTTTCGAAGAAATCAAATTTTTAGTATAGAAAAATTGTGTTTCTTTTAAAATTTTAATAGATACACAGTTTTAAAAAATTATGATTTATGATTAAATTTTATAATTTATATACACAAAATTATAGGTTTCGTAATTAAAACTTATTTAGTAGGTGAAACTTTTAAAAATTCACTACCTTATCCATTCGGGCCAACACAATAAGAATTAAGAATATAGCAATCAAAGAAGCAAAAACAAACCAATGTTTCAGTAATCGTTTTTTTTAGGCAGATTGAACTATTGTGAATAATTATGTGAAAAAATTAAACTCTAATATTAAATTACAATTTCAAAATTTGATTCTGAATTAATGAAATATTTGAATAAAATATTAAAAATTTCATTTATGAAATTTTTCAATTCACAATATTTCAATATTGCTATGAATTCACAATAATCATTTTTATAAAGTAGAATTTCTCAAATAACACGAATACTTAACTTTAAACCAAAAATTAAATTAATAATTATTTAATTTAATTAAATGAAATTTTTTAAACAAAAAAAATATTTAATCATGCCTTCACTTTTCAAATATAGAAGAGCATATTAGCCTTAATAAACACGTACTCTTTAAGTATAATTTTTTTTTTCCTATAAATTCACTAAAATTTCCCATTTATATTCCTTCCTCAATTTATCCACTTAATTTTTCATTTTTATATATATTATAAAATATTTAAAAAATTTGATAGTTGAAAAATTATTAAATTAAAAAAAAAAATTTTATTTTATTCAAAAGTTTAATGATAATGTACGCTTTACATGAAATTTAACTTTTCCTTTAAATGGAAATTTAACAAGAAAAAGTTGTTGAGTTTATTATCCCATATGTATGTATATAGGAGTAGAATATATAGATAATTTTGAAAATATTATTCAAAAAAAATTAAAAACATGTGAAAAAGTGAAAATATGGTCACGCTTTTAATCTATTTTATTATTATTATTTAAAATATCCTTTTCGCTTAAAATAAAATTTTAAATTCATACATAAAATAATGTTTAAAATTAGATCTATACTCGTGACTATAAAATACAGCTGTGCAAAATTTTTCATATGAAATTTAATATTATACATGTAGTTAGCATTATAATTTGCGCATATTTGAATATTTATAAACATGAAAAAAGGATATTAAATTTATAATATTCAGTCCGTTATCCTGTATATGAAAATTGGCTCTATTTGAAAAAACAAAAAAAAAACAAAACAAAATTGTTTTTAAACTTTCTTAATATATTGAATTTGTATTTTAGTTTTAACAACTTAACTAAAAAAAAAAACTATTATCCTTTAACAATATATAAACGTACATTTCAGGTTCCAGTTAATTTAATATGTGTGTACTTAAATGAATTTATCCTAGTATAGGAGTTTTATGATTAAACTGTACATGGATTCGCTACACAAGAATTTGAACGTATGATAACTCAAGGCATATTATAAATGTAACTACACTTATAATTAGGATATGTGCATTTGATTAAACTTTTTAAGTATGTATGTATGTATATAGCGTGTAGCAATAATAATAAAAGAAAAATTTATTACGCTCTTTATTAAATTATCTATATACTTAAAGTTTCATAATAATATTAAATTTGTGCTTAAAGAAATATAGAAATAATAATAATAATAATAATATTTTGTCAGAGGCGATAACAGATCGTACATAATATTCAATAATAGAAGTATTTTCAATGGTACTCTTTTGAATTTTGAAATTTAAGAAATAAGTAAGATGGAAATTTTGTGAAAATTATTTAGAATTTTAAATGAGGTTTGTTTAAAGTATATTCAGCATTATAATTTATTTTGTAAAACTACAATGAATATTCTTACTCTTTTCTCATAATTTCATTGCATTGTCTACTTTTAGGGGAACGAAAATTAAAATTAGCATTAACATAATTATGGAACAATTTTTACAATTAATTACTGTTATTTTAAAATATTATATAATTATATGTCCTCGCTATTTCCTTGCTTTTACAAAGATTCGATAAAACACATACCTTTATAGAATTTAATAGAAAATTAAAATTTGATTAATTTTGTGAAGTGACGAGACTGGGATGAAAATATGGAAAATACTGACAAAAATATTTTATTTTATATAATGAAATCGTTTGAGATTTTCCTAATTTGACCCTGTTCTAATTTTTTAATCCTGAAAACTAATGTGTTAGTTAAAATAACATAATTTTCACAGTAGATTAAGTGGGAACTGAAAAGAACACACAAAATTGAGTGAGAACATAAATTTTTGCGTGTATTAAATTTCAAATTAGAAGAAAACGTTTCGAATCCAGTTTGTATTCCATAATAATTCAGGAATTTTATTTTGAAAGATGACCATTTTTGTCGATATTTTAAAATTTGTAAAAGTAATCGAACCAAATCTCAGACTTATCGAGTTGAAAAAATGACAAATTTAATTTGAAGACTTTTTGAAAACTTTACTAATGCGGGGTAATAAAAGTTTTGAATGAAAACGAAAATGGTTAACTCTTTATTGACTGTAAAAAATTTGTATTGATTGTTAGCTGTACTTGTTAAATTGACGACTTGAACTAGTTCTACGTATCAAACTGTACGATACACGACGTGTTAAATTGAAAACATCAAGTATTCCAAAACTGTACCCCATTCTTTTTTAATAAAATAAGAAAATTTCTACAATAGTTTTGTATTTCTTAAACCATCCCTGTCCTTCTTATAATTGTTATATTTTGGCTATAACTAGTTATGGTAGTAGAAAGTTATAAAAACTATTTGAGGTCAAGCAAAATAAACAAAAACAATCAAGAAAAACAAAAAAAAAATGGTTATTATTTTTGGTACCAACTTAACTGGAATTATTTTTTTTTCTCCATATTTTTGTAGAATTTCTGAAGAGGTCATAATAGCTTTTCAAAATTATCCTGTTTAAGTTCAGTTCTTTCCATTTATTCTCATAACTTGATTTATTTTCCTATTTTATTTTCGGTCAAAAGTGTCATAAAGTCATAACTATCATTAATAGGAAACTTAATTTATTATTCATTACGAACAGGAAATTATTTTCTTATATGATACAAAGTAAATTTTTATAGGTTAAAGTAAAAAATTTCAAAAAGTTTAACAATAATTTTTGTTTTTTTCGCTTTTGTTTTCCTCTTCCTTTTCATTATTTGGTTAAGTAAAAATTTTGTGTATTGTAATGTTGATCGTTAAAAATTTAAATTGAATTTAAGAGAATGAAATTCGAAAATAAAAACAAAAATTGGATTTTTAATTTTTTTGGAAATGATTTTCGCGAATATCCTTGTCATATCTTAATAATTTTAAATTATTTATCCAAAATGTAAATAAAATGTGAAAATGGTAACAGCATCAAAAATAGTTCAAAGAAGAAAATTAAAATTTGAGTTTATTGGGAAATGTCATTGTCAGTGACGATGTTACATGGTTCAACCGAAATATTTTGCGTTAACGATCAAATTAATTGCCGAAATACACAATTTTAATTTGCAATTTAACATGATTAATTCATAAGAGAATGAAAAAAGCTGTTTATAATGTAGCCTTATATAACAAATTGTTAAGAACATCACTCTAAATTCCATTCAACTTTTAAATTCAGAAACTTCATTCTACTTTATAATTTTAATTAAAAATTAAAATACTTACCTGTTGTTTTGTAATATAAACTGGTCTATTAGCAACAATCCACGTCACTGTTTCAAAACATGCTGGTGACGTTGTTGAACCTTCATATGTCATATAATGTTCTGTATCTGGTAAAAGGCTACGTACAGATAAACGTTTAATTAAAACTTCATTACCACCAAAACGTATTCTATCTAATTGATCGGTTAATATTCTTAATTCACTATTTGACATATCACCAAGCTACACAAATCAAAAAAAAAAATTCCAATTAATATAACAGTAATTATTTTCAATAATTGACAATGTTAATTCAAAAACTATCATATTATACCTGTAGAAGTACGGCAACACCGACAATTCCCTGTACTTGATTTAAAGCCTCTGAAAAATTCTGATAGAGTTGTGAATTGTATCCGTATATTTGAATCTATTTGAAAAACAAAAAAAATAAAAAGAAAATCACAATTTATTAAAAAAATATAAGAAATTTAATGAAGTCAAAAAAATATTCTTTCAACAAGAAAATTTCTACACATAATTTAAATTAAATTTTATACTAAGAAAACCATCACAATGTTATCGAAAAGAATTAACTACAAAATTCGCCTTGCATATAAATCTCGCCTTTGTAAAAGTTCTATTAGTTGAAGTTTAATAGATGACTTAAGCTGAGCAGGAGTAATAGGAGATAAATGTAACGTAGTGTAAATGGCATTTCAAGAGAATTTAAAACAGAATGGCTTAGGAAGAGAAGGAGATAAAAACAAATTTCCATGAAATAAAATATTTACTGACATTTTTAAATTATGGAAGGGAAAAATTGCACGAATGGTTTTGTTTCTTGGATGAAAGCAACGAACCGTAAACATTTCAATTAATCAAATTTGAAAATTCAATATGTTGTAATGAAACTTACATCTGATCAACTTTTGAGTAGGCATTTCAAAGGTGAATATATGAGGAATATGTTCAGGCAACTATCTTGATACTTTTGGATAGGCAAATGTTAATGATTTAAGTAATTAATATGATTTTTGTTTGTGTCGAAGGATTTTAAGAGTTTTCGTCTCGCAATTAAAATTATGATAGAAAGCAATCTTCTTATCATAAGATATCAACACAAAATACAAAATAATCATTAATTTCATTCATAATGGACTTAATATAATGATTTCAATTAAATGCAATAAATAGATCAACTAACTAACTCTAGAAAAAAAAGGGCAATTTCCAACTTCCTATTCTAAGTTCACTGACAGTTTTTATTTTATATAATTAAATAATTAATAAACTCACTGTAATTGTTTTAAAAATGGGGGGAAAAATAATAGGTTTTCCATTTAACTCAATTTAAGTCTTACATTTCTCTATCTATTCATTTAAATAATTTCTATTGTAAACCATTATGAGGTTCACTTTCACAGCAACAACAATACATACATTTCACTTTTATTATAATTGCATATTTTTTTTGTTATTTTTTTTTCATGAATTCAAGTACATTTATATTATACATTATCTATTTATCTAATTACTTTAACCTCTTGACTTCAAGAATAAAAAGTAAATAATAAAGAGAATTCCTTTTCTTCCTTTGTATAGTTATAATTATATTATACGTGTAGTATGATTTGGGCTGGGTATATTATATAATGCAGAACCACAATTACTTGTTTTATATTTGAGTATTATCTTGGGTATTAACTTGCATTTTTATATGCAAACATTATTAAAAAAAAAAATTAAAATAAAAAATTGTGTATATATGAAAAATATTAAGAATTTTCATAATTTTGTTTTGGTATACAATGGTACTAGTAAACAGACACATAACTTACACACATAGGTGTAGTATATAGGAAAAAAATGTCTTCATATATTTTGTTTTAATTATTGAATTGTACTTAATAAAAAATATGCAAAAAAATGTGCATGACATATGCATTTATGAACAATACTATTATTAAAGTTATGCTGACCACAATAATTAAATTGCAAGATCATCATTTCAATTCTTAAAGTAGAATGGATTAATTTATAGTAATAGAATAAAATTGAGAAAGGATGAAATATTTTAAGAATGTCTTTTCAAGGGTAGCTTTGGAAGGTGTTGCAATAATATTAATTAAATTATAATAGAAAATATTTGAAGTGCGCTTTAAACATTTTTTAATATTGGAAAAAATATGAAATTTTAAATATTTTGAATATTTTTCACATTTAATAAACAGGAGCTTAAACAAGCCAGTTAGTAGTATTCTACTGCAGAAAAATATTTGTTAAAATGCAACAACATACGCAATTTTTTGGGAAATTATGGCCATATTGCAACAGCAGAATTTATTCTTAAATACAGAACAGTCAAAAATTGTATTAATAATTTAGATTTTCATCTTTTCCTGATAAAAACAAAAATAATGTAGTTCCATTAAATTTTAAAATTGTGTTACTTTTTAGCTCTTTTCCAAAAAAATATTTTAATATGCTTTTTAGTTTAACTATGTCCGTCCTTTCGTTTACAAGAATTCTACATCCTCAATATGTACATAGGACTTTACTAGAAACTTATTCCTGTAGAAGAAAATTTTCATCTATCGTTACTCTTCCAACCCTCTCAAATAGCTAAAAAAAAAACCATTTTTAAATAATTATTGCAGTAAAACTAGAATCGTTTTTTAAATTCTGCAAACTCAGAAAAGTAGTGGCTAGCTTCCTCTACGATGGCATACCATATTTGAACTTCACAAAACCAAAATGGTCGTTATAATTTACCGTTATCTAAAATCCGTCTTTTCCAAATTTTTGATGTCGTTTTTCTTCTAGATGTCAGGTTGCAGAAGTCTGAAATTTTAGTAGTTTTTAGATATTCATAAATACTTCATTTCGTTAACAGAAAATTTTTTTCCACCTCCACTATCTCTCAAGTTATCTATCGCCTATCGAAATTTATAAAATTCGAATTTTTAGCATCTTATATTTCCGAAACTGCAAGTTTTTCCAACTTTCTATAAATGTGCAGAGGTAATCGTAAATATCATTCCATCAAAAAGTATAATTACTTTATTCAAATTCTAGCATTATGTCTCTTTAATATTTTTTTCCCCCTAATTATATGCAATTTTTTAAATGAATTTTATGTAAAAATTTGCACTTGTTCAAGTCAAACGTTATTTTCAAACTATTGGTTTTACCTGACTTTATTAACTATAGTTTTCTTTATTTGCGATAGATAAGAAACGTAATAATTGAAAGGAAAACTAACTTTAAAAGAATTAACTTGAATCACAAATTATAACACAAAATCAAAAAAACAAAACTAAAATAATGAAATTTCGAAAATTTTTTTATTAAAACATGAGCTGCACAAGCTACTTGGCATTATGATTGCTTATCAATATAACGTTTGTTGATTAACTTAATGACAACTATATGGTATGGCGGGTTTAATCGTTATTAAAGCTATTGAAAGTTTTTAAATCAATTTTTACAATGGTTTAATTCATATACGAAAATAACAATGTAACAATATTGCAGTAATGAATATCTGAAGGGCATTTACTCCTGTATGATATGTTCCTTGTATCCCATACAATTATGAAAGGATGTATGCGCAAGGAGAAAAAAATTATAATTGAATCTATAGACAAAGCTATAAATGACGCTCTTTTATCCCTTCCCATCCTTTTCAATCTTTTTGCCTATCCTTCTCATACATGTTTTCTCTTTGTAAATTTTTTCTATCTATGGCTTATTAGTCTATATTATGAAACATTGTAAAAAAAAATATAGTTTTTTTTTTTTGTTTAAAAAACACAAAAATATGAAAAGAGAAAATCTTCGGTTACAAAGTAAATGGTGATATTCAGACCATAGACAACTTTAATTCTTTGTTTAACTTTATCAGATTTAATTACTCAATGACTTAATTCACATGTAAATGTATATGGGTGTATGAGTAGAGTCAATGAGAAGAAAAGAAGTGATATTGGAAAGCACATTTTATTTTAAAAAAGAAATTATTTGTTAAATGTTTAGGAGAATTTTGATTTTAATAATTTTAACACCAGGGACTCCTTCCATATTATTTGTTACAAGAAAATTGTAGAGAATTTGGGAAAGATTTTTAAAAATTTTGTGACCTTCGACATTTACTGTACAAGGCTGGATTGTTATAGCCAGAATTTTTTGACCTTACATCTAACCACGTGTCTTATGAAAAATATAAAAAAACTGGTCAAACACCTTTTATCTCATATCTCTAGCTTGCTTACTTATACATTGTAATAGAGAAAACTCAATAAACTCACAGTTCGCCGACAGCTCTTTAATAACAAATATTTCCTTGATAATTTCTTGTACTTCAGGAATATTTCGAACAAAATAATACAAAAATTACAAAATTTCATCCAATTGACAATATTTCAATTAAATTCTAACATAACTTTATTAAAATCTCGAAACCTTGCCGATGACGAGAAAAAAGATGAGAATTGAATAATCTAAAAGTGCTTTAATTTTTCTGTAACAAATAATACAAAGAACGATCAGACGGACGAACAAATTAATAACTGTTCGAATCCAATCGAAATTCTTTTCTCCACAAATTTTTTTTCTTAATATTTTTTTTTCGTTAGAAATAAGGAAAAATATTCATCATTGTTGCATTTTTTTTGGTTTAGTCTATGTTGTTTATGACCCCACCATCCTTCTCTCCGTTTTAATTCGACGTTATTATTCTCTTTTTTTATATAAAAATTTTTAACGCTAAAAATAAGTTTTTATATTTCCCAAATGAATTGAATTAGTGGTGGTTGTGAACCATAAAAATCTTTTAGAATTATAAAAAAAAAAAGAAACCAGAAAAATAGATGAATTTTTTTTTTCGCTATTCGCCATTATAATGAAGAGAATTTGGTAAGCAGTTGTTTTCGAAATGAAGAAGAATTTTTCTATATTTTACGATCATTTTTCTTATTTATAAAATTTCAAATAATCTTGATTTTATTCTTCAAGAAATTGCCCTCTTCCAAATTAAGTTCCATTTAAAAATTTGCTAAAATCCGAAAACTCAATTTTAAGACGAGTTTTAATTAATAAGAAGAATCGAGTACAAACTATTGCATTTTTACAACTCGCTTTAAATCCGGCCAAGCTGACATGAAAAGCCACTCAAAATCTGGAAATTCTACAAACAATTGTGAATTAATTGTACAAATCGAGAATTGTACGAATTATCTATGATTTACTCCACAGCATTTTTATTAAACTCTATATAAACATATACATACATAACAAACATATACAATTACAAATCTATAAATATATATGCTTAATATTATTTTTCAACGTTACAAAGTCTAAAATAATTTAATTTTCATAGAGAAAGAAAAATAACATAAAAGGAAGAGAAATGAGAAAGAAAATTTTAATAATAAAAAGATAATTAAATTATTATCCTTGCACTACTACTCAGTACACCAATTACATACCTATGTACACATATACACTTCTACTCTGTTAAATAAAAAAAAAGTGGAAAACTTAATATAAATGAATGAAATTTATTCCAAGAACTTGAAAAGGATCTTAATGTGTTATGAAGATACGGTATTCAAAGAGTATGAAAAATCTATCTGTTTTTACACTTTGTTTATAGTAAACAAACTGCATTTATATTCATATAGGGATTTTATTGTGGTAGCATAGTGTATGTACTACGATTGCTTTTAATTTTCCATTATAGAAACTGCAACATTGTTATGAAATATTGCTGATTGTAATTTGGTGTAAATAGCAGATGATATTGATAACAGAACACAAGAATTTTTGTATAATGTTATATTCTGTATAAAAGATATTTTCTCATCACAGAGTTTTTCTTTTCATAAAGTAGATGAAGAAAAAGAATTAATCAATCAATGAAAGTTATAAAGAGTTAAGGAAATATTTAGAAATTTTTGGAAAATAAAATAAATTAAAATATAGTACACGTGCTCAAAACTATAAGGAATACTTTAGTGTGCAATTCCAAAAAAAAATCAACTTTTAATAATACGGAACAAGACCGTAATAACTTTTGTGGTTTGGAGAAAAAACAAAGGGAATTTAATAGTTCAAAATCGTTTCTGCCCAATATTAATTCACACATACACGTTCTATGTATTCACTTTGATATTTAATATAAATATTTTACGCTATTCATTTCTATCGTTAATCATTATTTGCATACACTGTTACATGTGTGTATTTATATAGTATGTATACGCAGGGCTATAGTGATATATTTTAACTATAGGGCTATAGTTGATTAAAACCATCAAATTCATTGCATAGGAAATACGAGTTCATTGATTATATGCCATTTTCAATTTAAAGAATCAATTTACAAAAGGTTTATTTCGTAAAATAATTCAAATTTTCTAATATAGGTAAAATACACGTACGCGTGTACATATTATATTTTCACAATTTTTGTTTGTTATATGCAATCTAGAAATAAATTACAAATTTTTACGGCGTACGTAAAATAAAGTTTAAATTTTAATCACTGTTTTGATAATTAGGGCACATTACTAAATCTGTGATATATGAGTTTTGAAATTCCATGAGTAAAATATTATAGGTACTGTAGAATACCTAAAAGTTCATAAAATACGTGCAAGGTATTGATCTTGGGTATTTTTCAATTCACTTTTGTCTAGACCAGGGATGGGGAACCTTTTCTCTATATAAGGCCAAATTTTAGTCAATGCAAAGTCAATCAGGCCGCAAAGTTTAAAAAAAGTCCAAAGGTTATAAATTTTTGCTTTGTGTAGGTTGATGAAAACAAAATTATGTCAGAATATAAAAAATAACATAAAACAGTTTATTTCATAATATTAATAGGATTCAAATATTAATATGGGTTTGTTTTCAAACAAATATGTATGTAAATTTTGAATTCAAACGTTGTTAGAAATTTCATGGCTTTGAATTTTCCAATTTTTAGTTTTCAAATTTGAAAGTTTATGTGCACGGTTTATTTTTCTAAATGTTTGATTTGTTTTCGAAAATTTGGCAGCAAAATTTTAATTTTTAAGAAATATAAGAAATAAATTTTTTTAAGGACAAAGGCCACTAAAAAACAGTTGAAAGGCCGCATGCGGCCTTAAGGCCGCAGGTTCCCCATGCCTGGTCTAGACCATATTTTTTCTTATCAAAATAATTTAAATTAGTTGAGTCATAAAGGCTCAGATATTTAAATTGGTATGAAATTAATTTCAAGTGTTACACAGTATTTGTTGTACCCCAATCACAAAATAAGAATAAAAACTAAAAATTAAAGTAAATATGCTGGAAAAAATCGGACAAATTTTAAAAAGAAAAGTTTTCAAAATAAATTTTTCATATCAGGAACATTGAACTAGACTATTTTCTCTTTTTCTTAAGTCAGTCTACCAATTTTAAAGCTTGTCCTTATGTGTAAGCCTGGTTGTGTCTTAATTTAAACTGAAATAATTTAATTGAGAATTTTTATTTGAGTTAACTCAATGAATGGGAACTATTCGACTAAATTAGGTCATTGACTCTTCACTAGTGCAGAACAATTTTCACATTTTTTACCGTCATTTTGATAGAATGCATTTTATTGAAGTTTTTGATATCGACCCTATTAATTAGCGGAACATTTTTGAGGAAATTCTTACCACCAAGAAATACACTTTTTACTAGATGTCTATTTCAAATTTCTGGGCATATCTGCGATAGAATTTAAAAAAATTAAGTGAACAATTTGAAAACCTTTACTCAGAAATCACAAAAATTGTTCATCTATCAATAATCTATGAAAAACATATGGCTGTGCGGCCCTTTACTTCTTATTATCACTATACATTTTTAATATGCTTAAAAATTATTTCACGTTAATCTCACAGAATCTCACGCATTTAAAATATTTTCACTCATTTCCTTTTTTGTTTTCATTTCTCACCATATTGAAGAAAATTCGAAATATGTGAATATTTACAAAAAAAATTTAAAACAATAAAAGTAAAATTGAAAATTAACCAAAATTTTCGAAAATTACATTAAATTTTAACAAAAATATTTTCATATCCTTAATCTGCGTTATTTTCATTTCAACTGCTGTTCCAATTGCGGTAAAAATTAACATAAATAAAAAAGGACCGAGAATAAAAATGTTAAATGAAAAAAAAAAACAACAAGTTTTATTAATTAACGACAGGATATTAACAGCATACACAAAACTCTGTTTAAATTGCCCACCAGTAAAAACATCAATTTTTCTATATGCATACACACACCACTTTCATATAGGAGATGGACACAAATCAAATGATGAATTAAAATAATAATTTAAACCGATTTTATATAAGAGAGAAAAAAAGCAAAAAAAAAAATATTGTTAATTTAAAATTATGTGGTTAAAATTAAAGTAAATAGTAATTTTATTTAAATTAACTTTGAATATTAAAGTTATTGTATGTGTATGAAAAAAACGACACATGGAAAATATGCAGTGTTAAATTATCCATGGTATTTTATATTCCCGTAATTACAAGAACATGGTACATGAATTGAAAATTAATTGTGTTACTGCTTACACAGTTCTTTAGTAAAATATAAAAGCAGATATCTTTGCCCAAATATCATACATTTTTTGAGTTCATTGTATATGGTTTTTCTTTTCATTTAATTTGTGTACGGTAATTCAACAATTAAACAAGTAATGTGTACATTGTAGGCTCAGAATAACTTCGTAATTATGTCAATAATTTTTCCAAAAATTTTTGAAATTATTTTGAAGTATAAAATTTCGAAAATAGAATTGAATTAACGCGCAGACATTAGACAAATATTTGCGTTATTAGCAAAGCTGAGAGTAATTGTATCGAAAATAACGTAGCTAATAAATTTGTCAATAAATTTCTGGGGTACAGTTTGTAATTATATCAAAACTGTTCTATACAATTTCAGAATACATATATACATATGTATGTTGCTGCTCCTTATAAATGTATATAATCCTTAAATATTATATGATTATTATTTAATTTAAACTTACCTCAGCTGGAAATGTATAACCTTCTACACTATGCTCTGATCCAAATTGATCATGTAAACCATAATGTATATGAATTTCATGGAAACGATATCGATACGATAATGGTCCACCAGATATATTAATAGGAGTTTGTATACCATCATAATTTGCTTCCGTATCATTACCAGCTGTAAAAATAACACTATGTCCAGTATTTGTTATGGTTCCACTTATCTTAAAATAATCAATAAAATATCAATGTAAATTTATATAATATGTATGTATAGGTGTATTTAAAAATACATATGTAAATTATTTTCTTACCCTATGTTTATCGATATGTAAAGGCCTTAAATTAGGATCAAATAATAATCTTTGAGGTTCTAAATTAACAGGTGATTGTCTTCGTCCCTTATTACACAATGACCATTCTGGATTTATAAGACCCCAAAATGATGGTCCCGATATACCATCATATGTCCACCATTCTTCCCAGCTAACTGTTAAAGCAACTGTTTAATTAGATAAATAAAAAGAGGAAATTTTTTTTTTTTTTAAGTACAATTTTTTCTTTTTTAAAATTTTCATTTTATGATTAAAATTTCAAAGTTTTAATAAAAATTTTATAATAAAAAACAAAATTTTTTTTACAAATTTTATGACGATCATTTTGTTATTTAAAATTGAATTTTTCTAGATTTCGATATAATTATAGTTACTTGACTCTCAATACAAGTTGCCCTCAACTGTTCTTAAGGAATGTGCTTAACTAATTTCGGATTTCAAATGGATTTTATTCTGACTATGTTTTCATTGTTAAAGTTCAATGAGCTTTAATTTACCTAAACAGTTTAATAATTCTATTTCCATACAAATATAAGGGTTGTTACGTATAAATGCAATTCCCTAGGATTACTGAAAATTAGTTCAATTTTTCCAAAATAATTTTTCATCCTTAAAAACTGTTCATCCTTAATTTTTCATTTAAAAAATAAATTTTTCGAAATTCTAACCGATTTATAACAACTTTTGCATGTTATACGAAAAATTTTTCCTAATTCACTACAGAAACCGTAAAGTTTTTAAATAATTTTTACTCACTTAAATAATTTTTTTTTTTAAATTAAAATTTTATTACTAAATCAACTTCATTAACCTAATTACCATTCGTAATTTCATTATATTTAAATTTGTTATAATTTTTCTCTTCAATGAAGGCAAAACAAAAAATTGTTGACAAAACTAAAATAACTTTTATAAAAATATAAAAGTATCTGTGTGGTTTTTATAGTGGCATCAACTTTATTCTCAAAAAGTACTCAAAAAAGCAAATATTTCTAAAATATTTTAATTTATCATTGGAATTTCTACTCCTTTATTTTTACAATTCTCAATTACATATTTTGTTTTTGAAAATATCAAAATATTTTTGTGTACAATAAAAAATTTAATTGAAAAGTTGTTGTAGCTTGCAATTATTTCGAAGAACCGGACACAGTACTAATGAAAGCACTACTCCAGAGTGGAAAAAATGCCCTGTAGTACTTTTGACGCTAGAACGAAGCTATTGCTTCTTATTTTTTTAAAAAACAAGTCCTCTGAAGGTACATGAAATTCTTCTCTATAATGAAACATACAGGTGTTTCAATATGAAACCTACAGGTGTTTTTGCCTCGAACACTCAAATTTTCTAAAGCTGTAGCATTTATTCTAAGAACTCTTGGGAGAGCTCATATCAACGTACGCCTGTTATCATTTCATAGAGAGTCCCAAATATCTCTAGTTAACTTGAGAAGTTCTGTCTGTAGTTCAACTTAAGATATTAAAAATATTTAGGTTCTGGTAAGGGATGAAAAATTTTAAGAACTGCAATATCGATACCGATTTTGAGAACTGCAATACCGTATAAGGTTTAATTTGCCATTGAAGTTTAATCTGTGTCAATAATATGTTTGACGATTTGCTTCCCGTAATGCTAACACAAAAAACAGGCTCAGTTCTACATGCAATTTTTTAATTCTGCATGAGCTGTTTAAATCAAAAGAGCTTCGTACGGTATGTGCATACCAGAAGCCAAAACCTCTGTAGTGCACTTCAATAAATAAATTTTGTTCTACGTTATGCCAATTAGAATATTGTCTCCTGCTCAACCCTTCCATTGCTTTTTATTCAACTTTTTTGTTTTGTAAGTTTCGAAAAGTTTAAGTAATTTGAATTTTTTATCTTAAAAGGAGTAATTTTCGTAAAATGATCCTGTCCTAAAACTATTAAACATATTAAAAAACTTATGGCTATTTTAAAGCATTCTTAAAATAGTTTTTGAAAGTAAAATGTAAAAGTATCAACATTTTTAGATTCATTTTTATTTTAAAATCTGTTTACTTTACAAAATATTCTCGGTGCTCGTGTATAAAACAACCTTGAACTTTCTTCGTTCTAGTTTCATTTCCAACTTTTTTTTTTTTCTTTAAAACTTTTTCATCCTTCTTATATTTTATTATAAATTTTATATTTTTTAATGGTTGTAAGCTTCAATGATGATAGTATCCAATAAGAATAATAAATGTTTGAATGAGTATGCAATATCTATATAAAATGGTAAACTAATAAGAGTTTCCGAGTTGTGGAAAGGAAAAAAAAAATTGTAATTTTTCATGTCAAATCAATTTTTCTTTTTCCTTTTTACATTTTTGTTAAGTTGTGTTTGTTCTCATTTTTTTTTTAGATACTATTGCAAATATTGCCTGCAAATGGAAGGTATAATAAATTTTATTAATTCGTTTATAATGATTGGGGACGAATGTGTTTTGTCCATTGAAAAATTAAAATAGTCAAATTTCATATTTTGAACTGATTTTTATTTCGCTGCAATTATTATTACATAATTGAATTTTGTCTACAAGTGTGGATAACAATACACTCGACACACCTCGATATATTTAGTTTTTGAAGCCCCGATAGTATTCAAATTCAAAAAATATGTAATAAGTCTTTTATTCTAATAAAATTTGGCAATGGTCGTATAAGTTTTTACAACAACTGCAATAGCTGCCTAAAAATTCAAAACAAAACTCATAATAAAACAAAATTCATAATATTGTATTGAAAACTCTGAAATTAAGCGTATTCAAATTTTGCTTACAGAATTTGTTTAATAGGGCCAGTATTTTGATATCTTTTCACAATATTGTTCTACAAGTTCTATCAGCTATTATACAACTTCAAAAACATTTTGTTTGTAACATGTTGGAAGCTATATATTGTAGAGTGATAAAGTTTTTTTATCAGGGATCAAAAACTAGAAAACATTTGTATTCGGTTATCACACAGTTGACATGGTCAACTCTTTCATTTCTCGTTTTATCTTCAATTTTATGCAAAAATGTTTTAATTTTTTCACTTATTTTATAACATTTTCTATAATATATTTAGATAAATCTCAACTAAATGAATATTTTAATATTTCAACAATGATTAAATTTAATCAAAACGGTTCATTAATCACGTTCAAAAATTTTCTTTATTTTTATTTTACGTTTTTTTTCTTTATTGATTTTTTCCTATTTTATATGACGATTTTTTTTATAGGAAATAATAAAAAAAAAATTATAAAAAAATAATCATGCTCTTATATTGAAAAGATTGAAGAAGAATTTTCCTGAAACTTTCGATTATAAATAAATAAAATGACGAAGGATTAAGGGTTATGTAAGAAAATGTAAAAAGTAAAAAAAATGAGTCTTTTTACTGCTGACATATAAAGCATAGGTACTGTATACTTAAGACATTTATAAAAGAATTTTATGGCATAGTTTATGACAATGCATTTTCACTAGATGATTGAACAAAATCTCTTCCTACACAAATATAGAACTAAATACATTAATTTTGAGAAATAAAAGCCTCTAAGATGAAAGTGTGTTTTCATTACCATGAAAAAAAATAATAAAAATTTTTAATGTCAAAATTTGCACTTCCTTGAAATCATGAATCAATATCAGAGTTAATTGCTTCATTCTTTAGAAATGTTTTTAAAATATTTGCATAAAATGGAGTATAGTCTTTACTAATATAATTTACTGATAAATATCAGAACACTCCTCTATACACTTTATACGAGATAGCAGAAAGCTGGCTCTTTTTTGAGAAATTTAATAAAATAAATAAATGAAAAAAGTTTCTGTGTTTTCGACACAGTAAAAAATGTCCAAATTTTTTACATTCTTTTTTTAGATTTGTCACTATATACCAACAAATTTTAGCCAATTCGGCCGAAATATAACAGTTTTCATAAGTTATCTTTACCAATTGATAAAATTATAGTAAAATGCCGCAACATTATCGATAACTCAGCAATTTTTTACAATTATTCGACGTAAGCGTAAAATACACTCTGACGATAGCTCTTCACGTTCCTAGGGTAACATTACTTTTTTTCATATGAGAAAATACTACGCTTTTGTGAGTAATTTTCACTTGGGAAAATCTTTTCTGAGCAATTTTATTTTGAAATTTCGTAAAACATTTTAATGTTCAATCCCGTAATTTTTTATTTCATGGGATACGTCTACATAGGTTCGAAAAATTTGGTTTTATGTCGCCATCTCGACAACAAAATGCAGCAGGGTTTGTCTCAAATCAGATACATTGCCGCGGTTGGTTTCGTCCTTATAGCCCTAGTAATAAATATGAATGCAAGTCTCTGCAAATGTTCCTTGTTGTTTCCAATGTCACTATTCTGCCTGAAGCCACAGCCCATATGTATGGAGCGACATTACCACCATGGCATATATCTACCTCATGATAGACGAGGAGCATCACTACCTCTTACTTGAAATGGTCCCGCACACCATGAGCTTAAAATATTATATTAAAAGTCAATTTATTCTCATAAAAATCCAATTTTTTCCATAAAATTATTGAAATATTGCATGTTCACTATTTTCTTACAGGAGACTTTCAATAATAAGCCCCTACTGTTTTGTTTCAAATGATTTACACAAGATGCAAATAAAGTTTTTCATAACTGACAGCAAGTATGCTGTGACGTGAGTAGAATTTTTATTATTTTTTCCAACAATACATGCACCTACATACTTTAATATTGATTTACAGATGCTAATGTGCATATGAAATTATTTGCTTTGCCTTGCTTTTTAAAAAAATTTATTCAGTATTCTATTTTAACATGATTTGATCCTTAAACTATTGTCATTCGGAATATTCTTTACTATTTTTTTTTAAATATTATAATAAATTCAAAATAAAAAACTATTGAACAAAAAGAAAGATTTAGATGGAAAAATGGTTCAAATTTAAAACAAAACAAGAATCATACAGAATTTATACGATATTCGAACACACGCACTTTTGAACAAACTTTAAGAAACAAATAAATATTTTTAAAATACTACAATGTATTATACATAAATAATAGTATACAACAATCCTTCATCCCTATAATACTTTTGCTTTTGTTATATTTTGTCTCTTTTAAAATTTTTCCGTTATC